TTCTATAGGAATCTTGCAAGTTGTGCAATTGCATTTGTATTAGGAAATTCCCATAGCTAATGTTAGCATATCTTCACGAGTTGCTGGGTGGATTTTATTGTTAGTCAAGTGTTACTATCATTTAGGGATTTAGGGCGTATTATAGTTTTGGCGCATAGGAACTTGAAGGGGAATTTTCCATAGGTGTGGGTGATTTTCATTCGAGATTCATGTACAGGGTGGTTAGATAGTTTAGGGTATTTTGGAACTGGTTTCAAAAGTCCGTTGTTGTGATGTACGATGGATAGGTGGTTTTTGTTTGTTTTATGTGAGGGCGAAATATGTTTATTGATTTTGTTTGCTGTGGTATTTTGCTTCTATTACATTTTACACATGTACTGATATTTTCATGACTCCTGAATATTTGAATGTTTATGTTATATTGACATACTGTTATGAAATGGGTCTCGAAACCCCTCACTCTATATTGTTATATAATGAGACAGGTTATGTCCTAATGCTGAAGCCTGAGCTCTTAACCATTAACAGAAATTACATATTATGTGTATTCTTCGTACCGTGAGCGCTTGGTGTGAATATCCGGCTCCGTTACCATGTAATTTACTTATTCAATGGTAGTAGTATACACATTAATTTCCGTGAAAGATGGTGGCACGATATTTCAAATATCAGTGTGAAATTATAATTACGAAGGAAATGAAATTCCCGAGGGAAGTAGAATTCTCCGATGTTGTTGTGCAGGCTGAACGCCGAGTTGGAAATTATTATAATGTAAATTGAAAAAGAAATGAGAAAGTAAGTGAGTACATATCCTGGAAGGTTTTCAATAGCTCTTTTTCCCTCTCTTGTAATCAATAAAGACCCTAGGCCCTAGGGCTATCTCGTGTGATTAAGAGAGGGACAACCCTGATTTGAATTTCATTGATTTTGATTTAAAGTTTTTAATTAAATTTCAAAACCTCCATTTCTTGTGTTTTATTTATGCTGACCAATTCGGCTATCATTATAGCCGCACCCACATATTAGCACATTAACATATTAGTCAAAATCTAGATGTCATCCAGTATAAAAATGGTCATGTCAATCACGCACGTAGCCGCCCACTGCAAAGCTTGTCTTTTTCTTCGCACTGGCTAGATAAAGATGAAAATATAATAGCATAATTTGTGTACACCTCACAGGCGACCTGCGATGATTGACGTGACTATTATATATTATATATCATATATTATATATTATATATTATATATATATATATATATTATAATTATATTATAATTGTATATTATATATTATATAATATTGGGGCGTTTAAAAGTTGTTTACAGTGAGGAATAGTGAGGTGTGCGTATGTATGGTACTTTAAGAACGAACGTGGAAATCTGGAAAATCTCAGAGACAAATAAAAATCTAACAGAAATCTTCCTTTCGTCACTGAATTGATACGCGACTTTTAGTATTTTGTTCATCTACCGCAAAATATATTGGATTGAAAGAAAATAAAATCGTCAACTCTAAATATAACATTTAAAGGACTAGTCAGGTTGCCCTTAAACATTGAAATTCCGGTTGTTTATTAAAAAATCACTACTTAATTTAACTTAATGGCATAATAGGGAGATTTCTTAAAAAATGATTAGCCCTGTACTTATCAGCTATTACGTTCAGTTCTAAGCAAGCTTGATCGATAAGCACATTCATAAAACATGAATAGAACATTAAACGATTCATTCCTCATTGTGGTTCACACATTTTATTATTTATACTGAACTAGTTCTAGTAGATACACATCGGTGGTGTGCAACGATGAACTGAGTCGATTATTACACAGGAAGCGAATGCGCGTACATACCTGATAATGATGGATTATTCCTGAACAACATTGGCAATCTACAACGTGTTGGCTCCTTCTACAGCTACTATCGTCGCCGTCCATATATTTCACACTCTCTGTGCCCGACGCTTCCAGTTGTAACGTTTTTTTCTTTCCATTTAACATTTACGATATTTAAGATTCATCTCTACGCCATCTGTATATTTTCTCTGTAAATTCGCTGTAGTTACATTTACCGGTATAAGTTCGTAGTTCATTGTTCTATTAGTAGAGGTCTCTGAGTAACTTTCTGCCTCTCAATACTATTGGCCCATTTCGTTCTCTTGATCTCTGTCGTCTGCGTACAAGCAGAACCTGACGTGAAGATTCATTATCTCTTGCTCTTTCGTTGTTCGTTTTTGACTTGTAAAAGAATACGCGCCATTTTTTTTCTTGACAATCTTGTCTGCTTTTTTGAAGGGATTTATTTGTTGGGAAGTTGCTTTCTTTAGTATTTACTTCGCTTCATAGAATACGCTTATTACTTACGACCCCTTTTGGGGTAAGTGTTTTAAACTAACGCAGTAATCAATTAACATTGTATAAGGGGTTTTATTTTCTATTTTGTTGTTTTCTTTGCCTACATTTGTTTCTACGTTGAATATTACGATATTACTATCTACATATTCATATCCTTTGATAAATACCTATATCGGATCTGAACGACATTGCATTTTATTACTGGCTAACGCAGATACCACCCGCATACGTGCGCATACGCGATGCTGTCCAAAATCTTTTCAGCTTGAAAGGTTCCACCCTGTATATAGGTACAACTGACAACGATGCACACATTTTTGAGAGTTGACAACCACGCAATTTTTAGGAGGGGAAAGCGATTTGCGCCATCTGAAGATCACGAACGTGGGTTACGTTTGGCATCTTGTCTTGAATGGTGGACGTGATCGCGTCGCTCCATAAATGTTTGTTGTTATTGTGTGATATTTAATGCAGGTAGTAATTTTTGCATTTCTTTATATCGTATTTGTGTTTTGTATGCCGCATTTTATATTTTTTGTGTGTTTCAATCTTTGTTTTTGAAATTTACTTGGTTTAACCGCAATGCAGAATGACATGTTTAATACCGTTATCTTCTTGTTTGTAATTGTTTACGTTTTTGGTGTAATGCTTGCTGAATTTATGTTTATTGATGTTAATTACCTACTTGGTCTTGTCCCCGAAGTTACTTTCATATAAGTTTTGATCATTTTATTTTAATATGTGGAAATTACCGAGTTGTTTGATGTATGTACTGACTTGTTGTTTGTAACTAACAATTTTCTCCGTGAATGAAGCAGTCACGGGGATGGTAAAAACTGTAACCATTTGAAGTACGACACCTGATTCCGTGATTGTCTTCGACATTCAATTGTAAGCTGGAAACCCCGAAACCAGGGGCGAGTTACCTATCTTGCCGGAGCGGGATTACGCTAATCAAAGCTCTTCACTTTAGAATCTATGTGTGATAAACGAGTTACAATTCGTAAATTCTACATATCTTGTTTTTTTGTTAATTTTGCCTACAAGGCCATGTAATTTTCCATCTTGCTTTTAACAAAAGGACTTTATTGCACCCAAGATGAGTCACATCCTGTGTATTTCAGCCTTTCTTAGAATCTTGGTACCTGCTTACCTGACCCATAATTCCCAAAACTTGTTTTTAACCTACCTCTTGAATGTTATCTGCTACTTTTTGTGATGTTATAGTTTTATGTTACGCATTCACATCATTACAAATAATTAATTTTACAACACAATTTGATATTAATTTGATGGCTGTTTTTTTTATTGGTAATTTCTTTTTTTTTTCCAGCCGATACCTATCTATTTTGATTCGGTGAACTACAATTTTCAAAGTTTATTTTTGCTATGTAATTTATTTTGGACTTAAATTTCCGAGCTTTCACAATCATAATAATTGCGATCATTATTAAACAACCTTTTCACAATTCGGGTGGCCGGGTTGACTTTATTTCCCTGTTCTTGTAGTGTGAAGTTAGCGTAGAACTTGGGGGTTAAGTACACTACAAGCTGTTCCTCTTATGTCTAAGAATATGTGTACCAAATTTGGTTCCAGTGATTTCGGCTGGTTAGCCGGGAATGCGAGACAGACCGACAAACCGACAGACCGGCCGACATCATTGAGGTTTGATTTGGATTCCTGGGGCTCTAAAACGTGTATTCCCGTAAAAATGTGGGAGGGGAGGGGGGTTTATTTTTTTACCCCAAATCAATTATACCTCTCATACTAACGTGCGGATGGTAAAAGGCAAAGGAAAGATTATTTATCAAAAGTGTAAAATGAATCAGAATGCAGATCGAGTTCCTACAGAATACATTTAAAACCAAAGAAATTCCATGTTCCCCTAGGACAAAAGAACCGAGTCTAGGAAAATTCCGAATCACTGTTCACAGAGGGTAAGTAGATAGAGAGGAAAATCTGGAGCAAGAGAGGTAACTGTGAAAAATGCTAAGCACATCGCAACTAAAATATTAACAATCCGAGGAAATAACTCTTGAGCTTGAATAATATCGACGATAATTTAGTGCAACATTGATAAACTAAAGAATGGTCATTTCTCCACTTCTTTCCCATGAGTGAAAGATAACATTCCGAAGTCTCTTACATGAAGTACATACATGAAATACATTGTTAATTACACGGACCTTCTGCAGTACAGAAGGTATCTGAAGGTCTTAGATACGGTAACCTTAGACTAAAGTTGTATTTCGAGATGAATGCCACTCATACATTCCAAAAAGGTAGATTCCCACACAAAAATTGAACATTAACAATCTCAAAAAAATCAAAATAAGAATAGCATTTGAAATGAAACAAGCAAATAACCAAAAAATTAAAAGAATTGCTTTACCTTAACAAGTAGTTGAAGGCAAATAGAATTTACAATAAAGCGCACAACTACAACTAAGTACATTACTTTTTGTTATACAGGGTGGTGACTTGCGTAACGCATCATAGGGATTTCAATGTAAAATTCATAACAAGTGATTATTGGCTCCCCAAATTATTTTAAAGCAAACATATTAAGGTTTTTTGTAGAAAAATTTATAATAAACACGTTTATTTTTGTGTCTATATTCTTTCATTCCCAGCATAAACAAGGCCTTGGAAGTAATTCATAATTACAGTCCACTTACAATTAAATTCTTTGTTATCGAAGTCCCCTTGTACGGTACATATATACAGAATTTCACATGTTTTAGAAATAAAAAACTGAAGGAGTGTTACGAGAGAGTAAGTATGGTTGATACTGCGCATTTACAGGTATATTGAATTCTTACTGAAAATTAAAAGTAGAAGTCAATGTAGAAGTCAATGATTGGCACTTTACTTCACTAAGCTATTATAATAAGTATATAGATTATAGGTAGGTACCAAATTTAAATTGTGTACATTCTGTAGTTTAAAATATCACATAAATTGACCAAATGGTCTTTCATGCAACTAACAAATTCTATAACATTAGAAACTGTGTGCCGAAAAATCACTCTAAATTACAGTTTGTGCTAAATTACATCCAGCATGCTTGTTACGTACAGTCATTGAAAAAAAATTGGTACTTAAATATCTCACTCATTTATGCTCTTGTATTTTTGAACCAGTTGGCAACTTCTCACTTAAAACAAAAGTAACTAACATACAGTAAAAGAGGGGTCATTAACTTTGCCAGTGATGGTACTTACAGATCAAGTGCAACAAATGATATGTTAACAAACAAGTATCTAATACTTCTAATACTTACATAACTATCTAAAATCACAAAAATAGGTATATCATTTCCTGTACAAAATCACCCCTATACAATCATAAAATGCTACCAGAAACTGGATGGCGTAAACAGCTAAAACTAAATCTCTTAAATACTAACAATAAAATTTTCCTTAACACGTAATTGGTATGAAAAAAAAATTGGATACCTTTTCTAATGTATAAAAATACAATGCTCCGCATATTAAAAGAATTTGTCACATTGAATAAACATTTCATTATTACTAGACTCAAATCTGCATAGAATTAATATCATTTTCATATTTAAGTACTAAAATGGACCCTTTCATACACTGAATTCCAAAACCAACAACTTACATTCAATACCAAAAAAAAAGTTATTAGTTCACATTGGAAACGTTATGACCATTTAACGGTTAATTTAGATTATCTAAAATGTTTTAACATCCTACATTTAGATTAATTAAATTAAGATTAGACACTTTCTTTTGGCCAGTTTCGGCACGCAATCGGCGCGCAATCATTTAACCTCATGAAATAATTTGGCATATTTTTATGAGCGAATGAAGGCACTTCATATACCTATATCTTCGAAAATTATTAAAACCGAGGGATAAATTGAGAGCTTATTACTTGATGCAGGATATTCGCATTTCGACGATGTTTTGGATTGCTGACCCATCTACTTCGGAGATGATCTGAAAATTAAACGCAGAGAATCATATGAGATGAGTGTATCGTACAATAAGAAATACGAGGTACCTACGATTCAAGCTGAGATACAAGATAAGATTCATACCGTAAAAAGCTGAAATCGATTAACTATACTGCTATTAAATTTTAAATTTACATTACTGAAATCATTTAGGTTTGGTGGTGAGAGGTTCCACCCTGTATATACAACTTACGACGATACATACATTTTTGAGAGTTGGCAACCATGCAATTTCTAGATGGGAAAAAGCTATCATCTAAAAAGCACGGACGGAGGTTACGTTAGGCATCTTGTCTTGAATGGCGGTCGTGAACGCATCGCTCCATAAATGTTTATTGTTATTTTGTGTTATTTAATGCAGGTAGTAATTTTTGCATTTCTTTATATCGTATTTGTTTTTGTATGCCACATTTTATATTTGTTGTGTGTTTGAATCTTTGTTTTTGAAATTTACTTGGTTTAACCACAATGCAGAATGACATTTTTAATACCGTTATCCTTGTGTTTGTAATGGTTTACGTTTTTGGTGTAAGTAATGCTTGCTTAATTTATGTTTATTAATGTTGATTACTTGGTATTGTCCCTGAAGTAACATTCATATAAGTTTTGATCATTTTATTTTAATTTGTGGAAATTACCGATTCGTTTGATGTATGTACTGACTTGTTGTTTGTAACTAACAATGAAGCAGTCACGGGGTGGTTAAAACTGTAACCATTTGAAATACGACACCTACCTAATTCCGTGATTGTCTTCAACATTCAACTGTAAGCTGGAAACCCCGAAACCAGGGGCTTATACTGCCGGAGCGGGATTACGCTAATCAAAGCTCTTCAGTTTAGAATCTATGTACGATAAACGAGGTACAATTCGTAAATTCCACATATCTTGTTCTTTTGTTAAATTTGCCTACAAGGCCATGTAATTTTCCATCTTGCTTTTAACAAAAGGACTTTATTGCACCAAAAATGAGTCACATCTTGTGTATTTCATCCTTTCTTAGAATCTCTCCCAAAACTTGTTTTTAACCTATATGTTACCTCTTGAAGTCTACATGCTACCGTTTATGTGATGTTGATGTGATAAATTTATGTTACGCATTCACATCATTACAAACAATTAATTTGACGGCTGGTTTTTTTAATTGGTAAATTATTTTTTTCCCAGCCAATTTCTATTTTTATTCCGTGAACTACCATTTTCGAAGTTTATTTTGCAATGTAATTTATGTTGCCTTAAATTTCCGAGCTTTTACAATCATAATAATCACGATAATTATTAAACAAACTTTTCACAATTTCAGTGTTGCGTTCCTTCCCTACTATGCTTCAGGTCATAGCGTTGGTTACATGTACGACGCTATTATGTGCGACGCACAATTTGCATCCACACATTGAAATTTTTTGTAGGCATCTACAAAACTTCTATCGTCGACAGAGATTCTGCATTATTCCGCATTTTTATACATACACATTCACGTTTTTGTATGTACATTTTTGAATGGACGTACATAAACGCGTACAAAATCGTCCGTCTATAGGGCCCTTTACGTACTTAAACTGAATATTCCTTTGCGTTTCCCTAAACAATCGTTTATATTGTTGTGTGTACGACTTTGGGGTAATCTATAGTTGAATTTTGCATTAGAATATCGATTCAAATTGTATATTCAATTTTAGAGAAAATTTTCATTCACGATTCGAAACTTACATTGAATTGTTTATATTGTAACTTATAACGTTTGCATCACCAATAAAGTAGACGATGTATCACCTGCATTTGACAGTATTTATTGATTTGAAGATATAATTCAGGTAACATATCAATTTAGATTTTTATGGGACATTTAAAGTTGGGGCTTTATGTGAGCACAACTTTCCCAAATTTTATTATCATAAATTTGCCCAAATTAAGTTTTTGGTATAGATCAATAACACATTATTTACTATATCGAACTACATATAGGTGCCCGTATTTATATAGGCAAAGCAAAAAACTTTTACACAACGAGTTGTAAGCTAAGGAGCAAACATCAAGCCAACGAGTCAGTAAGAAAAATCAACATCTTTGGTGCAACCAACGTGAGGGTATCAATTTCAAACCTATACATTGTGAAACTTCACACCCACATATTGACACAAGAAATGTTACCTCACAAATCAGCACAATGAGCGTGTCAAACTTCAAATGTGGTCATATCTCTATTTTAGAATTAACTGACCTTGGCATTAATACATCCCCATTTGTAAAAAAAACCATAGAAACAAAAATCAAAATTATGAATATTGGCTACATCTACTTACAGTTTAAGGAATCGCCTGGCACTCGGTCTAGATTTCAGGCTACTGACGTTCTTGACCAAATGAAATAAAGCGTACATTTCTCTTATTGACAGATCAGCCGGTCCATACAAAAAGTCAGCGCCCTGGTCGATAATCTCGTGCTGTAGAATTTTCTTTAAGTTATCGCAAGGTAGTATCATTGAAGTAGCGTCGTGTATCTCAATATTTTCCCTTTCTCTCAAAATGCCCGTAATCAGGACGTCGTCGATCCAAAAATAATCAAACTTCTGCACCTCGCGATATAAGACGAAGATGACGTCGGGCGAATACATGATGACCCATCCGGGACAGTACGCCGGATAGTACTCGTTCTGATACTCGTTGAACGAAACCCTCCACTTGGAACGGAACGATCGCTTGACGGGCGAATGTGCCCGTTTCGAGCACGAAAGCAATCTTTCGGCGCCGTACGGCGACAAATCTACAGTTAGAAAATTCACTATCCTAGGCATGTTAACGAATACGTCGTCGTCAGTCTTAAGAATGTATTTGGCGTTCGGGCAATGGTAAATTGCAAATTTGAGCGACATGACGTGCTTGTACGTCACGTTTCTGTAGACGTCCAGGAACGTCCCTTGCACGATATCCCGATGGTTCCTGTTTTCCTCCGCAATTTTCTTTTGGAGCCTAGATTCCCGCGCGAGCCCCAACATGAAAAAGATCGAAGCATTTTGCAATTTACTTCCCCATGTCTCCCTAATACTTTTGCGGCGATGGTAATTATTGGGAGCGCTGTGAACTAGAATGAGCAACAGAGGCCACGTCTTGCATTTGTTCAGGATCGCGAAGTCGAATGTTGTCAGATTCATTAAGGTGTTGTAATCCAACTGGGGCAGCTGGTACATCGGATGTTTGTATGACGAATTTGCGGTGTGGAGTGTGAAACTAAGAGGTGAGTATCGTGTTGATGTATTGTAATCGTAAGCAGAACGGATCGTAATGGAATGGCTGGTGTAAATATGCCAAATTGATATCGAAGTTAATAGCAGTAGTATTAAAGCGCAGTTTGACCAGAATCGTCTTTCCAGCATGTTTATTATTTGGTGACTTCATAAGTTGAATGGTGGGGGTATAACCTGAAACATAAAATAATGAATTTAGAGCCAATAGAAAGCTTGGAGTGCGTTATAAATGAGCGGAAGAAGAAAGGTTCTCAGTTATTTTGCTAGTAAGATAATTGGTAAGACAATAACTTCAGGAACGTCTAAATGTTCCAATACAAATAAGTTTGTAGGAACGAAAAGGTCGGTGTCAAGATCAGCTTCATCAAATTTATTTTGTTATACGACTTGCGGGTAAGCCAAAACGTCATTACTTTCATTGTGTTGCAGCAATACTTGCACGATCGGTACAGGAGAGCAGCGCTTTGTCGCTACCGTCACGCGATATTTTTAACTTGCCATAGAGAATCGTGTTTTCCTGCAGTATTGCGTTTGATAGCAATCAAACGGAAACTAATTACGTGCAATATTAATTTTTCCGAATTAAGTTTCACTCACAACACCCTTGAAAAAAAGTTTCATACCGCTTCCATCCAAAGATTTACATTTAAGCCTCTCCGTTTCGACCCAAAACTTCAAGCTTAAATCTTCCGTTACTGGTTCTAATTACGCTTATAAGGCACTAAGCTGTAACGGTTAATTTTCTTCATTACAACGCAGGCAATATTTACTCGTTGAATGATCCTTGTCACAGTCTTGGAATTTTAAACACGCAATTTTTGTGGCGATACGATTAGTCGTTATCGATGGTCAACATTCATTTTTCTCTTTCGATTGCAAGCTGTAACAGGCACCTTAGCTAAGGCGTAAATGAAAGCGCATGGAATTTTAATTGCCGCCACCCATATATTATTAATTTTTAGCGAGGATTCCACATTATTGTCTGAACGGATTCGCCCTACAGTAAAGACGACACCATTCTCCTACGACGATTGTTGCACATTCATCTATAACTAGCCCTCTTATTTAAAGAGGTATGTACATTTTAAGGTTACCAACAAAGAGGATTACCTTTGATTTTCTTTTAGGGTTTACTTTCCAGTTTCAATTTCAAGCTAAGCTCAAATCTAGTTTTAGTTTATGGTCCCAATTTAAGGACTAGTTCCAATTCAATTTTAAGTATAATTCCGGATACGGATTACATACGCGTGTGGGTAACCTTGGAGTAAATTCCCCATCGGTGCGCGCGTGCCCTTTTAATAGAATTTCCTCAACCAAGAAACAATAACTTCCGTAACCTTTTAACGTATTAATCCATAACTATTTTTGTCCCTTCCGGATTAGATGTAATCTATCTATTTATTATCTTGAGATCTCTCTCACATTCTTGTGAAGCGGTTGGCCGATTAATTATCGTACTTTTTGATAGAAGCGAGGCCCTTCAGGCATGGTTCAGTTCATTGCATTCCGAACTCTGCGACTTGGAAGTTTTCTTTTGTTTGCAAGTTTATGGATCCGGGAACTGAGCTCACTTCTCTGGATGAAATCTAAGTTACAGTAAGGTAAGCGCTGCCTTTTTATGTTTTGCTTGTATTTGGCCTATACGTGCGATTTTTGTTCGTAACATCGCGCAATTTCTTTATGGAAACTTGCTTTAAGATCAAATAACCAATTTAATCGATCATTCTTGATTAGAGCTTTGTTAAACTTGTATATTTCAATTGTAAAGTCAAGTTATTAAGATTTTTGTGTCTAACGTAATGTAACAGTATTTCTGTTCAGGTTATTTAAAGTTCCTTTTTTACGTAATTAAACGGTAAGTCTAAATATAATCATGACCCCCACGGGCGATCAGTCTATATAAACGAAAGTGGATTGTGCGCGTAAAGCAGAAATGAGGCCACGGGGTAAACACTACGAAAATATAAATACGAAAATTTCCAGTACCAAGTAAGCAGTTGCCCGCCGTCGTTTCACGGAGCAACCTCTATGTCAGTCGCGCCCGCAAATCATAAGCGCGTTTTCTTGTAATATTGATTAGTGAATTGAGGCGACTTTTTTAAGAAAATCGAGAGAAAGAACCGAGCGAAAACATCTCCATCCACCCACTACATCGAAGGCGAAGACGATCCTTCACGGCACTCCGGAAAAAAGTAGGAGGATTGCGAGATTTCCGAAGAACAGTTCCATTTTGTGTTCTACGCGCGGTCCGTGCACAGTCTACTTGAAGGGTGCAGAAAAAGTCGTGTTAATACCTGCCTGCCTGTAATTGGCCGAACCGAAACTCGAATAGCTGCTTGCAGTGGGCGGTCCTGAGTTCATTGGATTTCAACATCGATCGGAGCGAGACCAAGACTGCATTCCGAATCCTAGTGCATATTAACAATAGAAGTTCAAGGTATTTATAAACCAGTAAACATTATCACGTTGTAGTTTATCATTTTTGTTTTTCACCCCGTCGAAGACAACATGTGTTTACCATTTCAAACACCTGCAGTCCAGTTTTTTCCTAGAAATGCGTGAAATGCAGGGAATGGGCCGTTTTCGGGTGATTTTTTGGGGTGTTTTAGGGATCAAGTTACAGCGTCGCTTGGGGAGGTTAATAAATACGATGTAGAGAATGTGTTCATGGTCTTTTCTTGTAACCGGCTTAAGTGTAAAGTACGGCTGATCTTGAAATAAGTATTTTGTTCATCATTCAATCATTGCTGTGTGCTTTTGCTTTTTATATCAGTGAGGTATTTGCTTTATTCAATTCATCTCTGAATGTGTCTAACCGTTGAGTGAAAAGTTTTATTTTTCACTCAACGGTCTAACTTAAATGCAGTTCGTAACCCTTTACTTATGTCCCTACTTACTGGATTGAATCACTTGTACCTCTAATGTGTAACATTTGTTGGTATTGGCAATTATGTTCCATTGTCGGTAGGGCCGTGTCCATGGTGTACATATTTGCATGCGTTCTGATATTTGTGTATTGTGCTTTTTACTCACTCTCGATTATTTCATTGCATTTCATTATATTTGTTTATTTGGGCTGTGACTAATCCAGAGGGAAGTGTGCTTGTTTAGAGGGGATCGAGTTATTCAAGTTTATACGGACCTTAGTGAACCAACCCCTAACATTTTCACTCTCCCGAAACCCAACAACTCTATCCCACGTCTACAGGCACCCCACTGGGCCTGGGCAATCCTACCGCCCGGCGAGATACATTTAATATCTCTTAGTTTTGTCTGATGTATGTGTTGTAATACCTGAGGAATGGCTCGATTCCATTTTGGTTACTCATAGCGTGTATGTAGTATTTACCCTGGTTTCGAGAGCGCTCAAAAGTGCTGTACATTAGATGTTGGCTGTAGGCTTTGTTCATTATAGGACTACTCCGAATTAGGTTTTCCTGCAGTTTTCCTAATTCGTAAGGTAAATGCCGGAGTGGTATAGAATAACTTAAGACCTTCTGCAGGGGCGCCGCTAAAAAGCATTATGCGGGTCACTCTGTAATCTAACTTGGTATTAGCTTCAATTTAATCTTAATCAGCCATTGCTTTTGGTGTTCCTTACCCATAAAACGCCCTCGGTGCCTGCTGAGAACCCAGTTATTACACAACGTAGGTGTCCTACATGACGATCAGCGAGAATATTCAAATAGGCAGCCATGTTAGTTTGACGTTCCCGCTACTACAGATATGGTCAAATATTCCTGCGTGACTTGAAGACCGCCAAGATAATAGGAGGCTAAGATCATTACAGGTTCCCCGTGTGAGAAAAATTCAATCTTTAATGGTTAATTCGTTTGCTTAATTCCCGTCCTACCAATTAAATAAGAGCCAATGCAATAAATCATTCCCACATACGACCATCATATTATACTAACTCCCGACATCTAGTCTCCCGAGATCCGGAATCCATTAATAAAATAATAAGCTACAGAAATTAAAGGACGCAGATAAGACGAGCCACCGGCACCAAATCCTTTATTAGGAAATCGGCCTTCAAAGTTTTGACGCCCTACAGAATTTCTATAATATGCAATGCCTACTTGTTTTACACTTCGAAATCTCAACATTTCTAATTTCACAACGAATTTTCGAAAAAAATTTAGAGCTACCGTTACAATACGTTTCAATTTTACACACAGAACAGATGATCTCAACAAATACTCAAAACCGTTTCTAAGGTAGAACTAAGATTGCATAACCTCCGTCAAAATCTTGATCCACAACTACCCAGCTAAATAAATTTAAATAACAAACCACTACTTGAAATACATCATTGAGAATTCTCTAAAAAGTGATAAACTATTGACACACTCAGTACAATTATTATTTATAGCATTTATAGCAGGATAGACAATTGATGATGATGATTGAATTTTTATATAACGAGGTTACGAGTTTTAGGTTCACTCTGTAGGCAACGTTCGGGTGTTTTCTGTCCCTGTTTTCAGTCCAACAGTTCTTAGCTGAGAAAGTGCAATGTAAAGAACGATCACATTATTTGGCGGGAGTTCCTAAATTTTTTTCGATGTCGTATGGGAGCAATTGGTCCCTGAATACAGACCAGACTGTTTAAATGCGCGTGAAAACATGAGGCGCCGGGAAGTCGTGGGGAATGACGAATGACGCAGTTAGATAAAAAGGACCATTTTTACACGGGTCACATCCGTCGATATTAAACTTGCTGGGCAGCATGCTTTTTGCCAATTTTGAGAATTTGGTAAACGTGAAGAAGTTACATGTGTTAAAAAATCTCATTGGCCAGAAAAAATGAGTCTTATTGGTTGTTCCTACGTCCAAGAATGGGTGTGACTAAAAAAGTAAAGTAGTGAAATTTAGGTTGCCACCAAATCTCAAGGTTTGTCCTCAAATTATAGGATTCAGGCTTGTATCGTAATTGCACTTCGAGCTTTAACGGCTCCAACCTGAAGACTGCTTCAGATTTTAGGCCCCTTTACAGTGTGCTTTAAGGGATTTGGTGCTTCGGATTCCAAGATTAAGCTTCAAATCTAAATCTTTAGAGAATATATTTTTGGAATCCGATGTATGAGATGTAACGGTACATTCCGTTGGGGTCTTTAAAAAATGTTCAAACTTCTATATAGATACCCGCAGGGTACTCCGAAGCGTTGTTTCCG